TCCACCAGCAACTTTGAACACATATCCTGTAGTAGATTTGCTTTTATCCAAATCCTCTGCATAGTCAGAATCGACATACCCATTGATAAATAAGTTTGATCCTCCGTAATATAATGCAACATTTGAGGTCCCTTTGATGTATCTCAGGATCCTCTTTAATGTATTCCAATGCTCTTTGCCTGGATTCGCCATGTACCGACTAACCACTCCCACTGCTTGTGCAATGTCTGGTCTTGTGCATATCATAGCGAACATTAAACTTCCTACTGCCGATGCATACGGTACTCGAGACATCTCCATCCTCTCTTCTTCACTGCTAGGACTCATACTAGAGGATAATTTGAAGTTAATATGAAGAGGGGTAGAAATTGGCTTACAATCTTGCATGTTGAATCGTGACAAGATCTTCTTCAAGTAATTCTTTTATGAAAGCCAAATCTTCCTATTACTTCTGTCTCGGTGAATTTGCATCCCCAGAATCTTGATCCAAGTCCTTCATTTCAAATTCCCTAGCCAGTTGTGCCTTTAATTCTTTAATATGATATTTGTTGGGTCCTGCAACCAACATGTCATCCACATACAACAACAATATAACAAAATTATTATCACTAGACCTCTTTAAATAAGCACAAGGGTCTGCATTAAGTATGTTGTATCCAAGGCACATAATGAAGGAATCAATATCTTATACCAACACCTCGGCGCCTGCTTTAGACCATACAGAGATTTGTTTAACCTGCAAACCAATTTTTCTTTCTTTTTCTTCAAAACCTTAAGGCTGGAGCATGTAAATCTCTTCTTCAAGATTTTCATGAAGAAAAGTTGTTTTAACATCTAGCTGCTCTAGATATAAGTTCAATGTAGCACACATTGCCATTACTACTCAAACTGTTGTTAGTCAAACCATCGGAGAAAAGATTTCATTGAAATCAATACCTTCTTTTTTAGCATATCCTTTGACTATTAGTCTTGCACGATACCTCTCCACTTGATCATCACCATTTCGCTTGATTTTGAAGACTCATTTGTTACCAATTGGCTTCCTTCCTTGTGGTAGTGGCACAAGGTCCCATGTATTATTTTTATGAAGGGCTTCAATTTCTTCTTACATCGCCATCATCCACGTGAAGCATCTGAGCTATTTATTGCCTCCTGGTATGTTGATGGCCCACCGTCCTCTGTTAAAAGGTAGTATAACAACATTTCCTTCTATAGCATAATTTGAGTGTCAATTGGACGTCTTCTCACACGATCTGATTGACGAGTTGTTGGAGCTTCAGAACTCTCTGGTTCTTGTTCATCATGTGTTGGTTCTACTTCAGAAGAATCTCCTTGTTCAACCTCATTTTCCATATGTATCTGTGTAGTCTCTGACTTTTCAGCACTATCATCGTCTTCTTTTCTTTGTAGTTTACCTTCTACAAAGATAACATCCTTGCTGATGATCACTTTGCGGGCAGTGGGATCCCACAAGCGATACCCCCTAACTCCATCAGCATACCCCAAGAATTTGCATTTCTTGGATTTTGGATCCAGCTTGAGATTTCTTGAGAGTTGTACATCACATACACAATACTTCCAAATACATAGAGGTTTGAATAATCAGCTGGTTTACTAGTCCACATCTCCATTGGTGCTTTTAGCTCTATTGCAGTTGATGGAGCTCGATTCACCAAATAACAGGCGGTATTGACTACTTCTGCCCATAATGATTTTTCTAGGCCTGCATCCCTTAACATTGCTCTTGTTCTTTCTAACAAGGTTCTGTTCATTCGCTCTGCCACTCCATTTTGTTGAGGAGCGTTCGCCACTATGAACTGTCTTTTGATGCCTTCTTTCCTGCGAAAGTCATCAAATTCTTCACTTATGTATTCTCCTCTATTATCTGCTCTGAAACACTTTATCTTATTTCTAGAATCAAGTTCCACCCGCGCTTTGAAGTTTTTGAAAGTTAAAAACACATCTGACTTCTTTTTAATAGGGTACACCCAACATCTCCTGGAGTAGTCATCAATAAATGAGACAAAGTATTTTGCTCCGCCTAGGGATGTAACTGGTGTTTGCCATACATCATAGTGAATCAATTCTAGAACACTTTTGCCTCTAGAATTTGATGTGTTGAATTTCAATCGGTGCTGCTTACTTGTTATGCAATGCTCACAAAGTAAGTGATATTTTTGTTAAGCCTGGAAGTAGCTTTTGCTCCACAAAGACTTTCATTCCTTGTTCTGATATGTGTCCAAGTTTCTGATGCCATAGCATTGCAGAACCTGAACTACATGAGGCAACAGAGGCTTCTGCTTCTAGCAAAGTCTCTCCCTTCAGCATGTACAAGTTTACAGCTATCTTTTCGCCTTTCAGCACCACAAGCGCTCCACGGAACACCTTCATGATTCATTTCCGTATTTCAATCTTGCTTGCATTATTATCCAACAATCCATAGGATAATAAATTTTTCTTCAGGCCTTTCACGTGCTGCTAGGGCTGGCAATGGATCGGAGATAGGTCGGGTGGAGCTTCATCTGCCCCATCACCCGTGGTCCAAATCTCCATCCATACCATTCATCACCTACAAAAATTTCATCCATATCCGCTTCATCCATCATCCGCGGGTGGAGCGGGTGGAGCGGATGAGAAATGGATGATACTATGAACAAAACCTATTTTTACATCATAAGCTCAAATTCTTCTAACATTCATAGAAACCAAACATTGATACTCAAACATTCATAGAAACCAAAACATGAACAATAAATTTTCATCAAATTCAAACAAAAACAAAATGGAACACATTTTATATAGTCTTGTGCACTATGTTTGTGATACATTTTTCAAGTCAATAGATGCATCATGTATAGTCTTATACACCAAATATAATATTCAAATCTTCATCAACAAACTATAAATTCTCAAAAGTCTTCTCCATCCTAGTATCAATAGGGATAAACCAATATTAAAAAATTAGACATATTTTTAATGGGATAAAAGTCAGAATTAAGAGAATAAGAATATTCACAATCATCCGTTTATTTTTTTAATATATATATATATATAATCTAATATATATATATATATATATATATATATGGATGGATGGATATATTAATGGGTGGATGGATGTTGCGGGTGATGGGACAAAAAAAAATTCATCCATATCCGACCCAACTCACCACCCGATCCATCCATCACCCGCCAATCATCCGTTTCATAGCGGATTTTCATCCATTTATTTGGGGCGGGTGGGTGGATAATCCACTCACCCATGGATAATTTCCAGCCCTACGTGTCGCACATCTCGAACAATTTTAATTGTTCCATCATACATCTTCAATTTAATAGTTCTCACGCCAATGATCTCTAAGGCATGATCATTGCAACTATACACAAATCCTCCTGAGACAGGTTCATAATGATGGAACCATTCTCTTCTTGAGGTAATGTGATATGTTGCTCCTGAATCAATGAGCCATATATCTGCAAATCTTTTTCTCCCTTCCACAGTGGTTGACGCTTCACATCATAGAGCATCTCCATCATCTGAAGTGTTTGCAGTATTGCCTTATGGATTGGAGTTTTTATTTAGACTCCAACAATCCTTCTTCAAATGACCATTCTTTCTACAGTTGTAACACTTTAAATTCTTCTTGCTCTTCGACTTCGATCTACCATGTTTGTGGTTGCTGTTTTGGCCACGTTTTGTTGATCTCCCTCTCATCGTTGTCAATGCTTCTGCTTGTTGCATATTTACTTGTCTGTCTTCCTTGTTCTTTCGCCGATTTTCTTCTTGTATAACAGCTACTGCAACGTCATCGAAGACTAGACTGGTGGCATTAGTGTTTGTCAAGTTGATGATGAGTTGTTCATACGAATCAGGTAGACTTTAAAGTAGAAGTTCAGCACGTTCTTGTTTTCCTATTGTACATCGTAATGATGTAAGCTGAGAAAATAAGGTGTTCAGCGTGTTTAAGTGCTCCGTCACTGAAGTAGATTCTGGCATACGGAGAGTGTACAATTTCCTCTTAAGGAAAATTTTATTGTGCAACGATGTGGCCTCGTACAATTTGGTGAGATGATCACATATCTCCTTAGTTGTTTTCTTCTCCTCGGTGCTTGACAATACTTCATCTGCTAATGCTAGATGAAAATTTGTCATAGCATTCTCGTCCATTTCGATCCATTTGTTGTCATCTGTGAAATCTACCGGTATTTCACTGATAGCTGCTAGACAACCATCTTTCTTTAGGATGACCTTCATCTTCAATTTCCACAATGAGAAATTTCTCCCATTGAATTTTTCAATATCAAATTTCGTTGTCATGGCTTCTATTACGAATAGCTCCCACTATTTCACTATCGTGAATAGTTCTCTAGAACCTTCAAAGAATGGGTAATACCTTCTTATTTTCTTATGTTGGAGGATCCACCTTTTGGTGGCAACTACAAAGACAATAAGCACATATTACATACTCAAATCTGGCCCTGATACCAATTGTTGCGGAAGATGGCTATCGGATAGAGCAAAATCACAACTGATAATTTGAGAAAATAAAAATAAAGATAAAATAAACACAAAATTTACGTGAAAAATCCCTAAATAATATAGGGTAAAAACCAAGGGCAACGGTAGAAGAATTTCACTATGAGAAAATAAGAATTACAACATCTCTCAATCTACCAAGGAGAAAACAATGATAATTCTCTCTTGATAAAAAGAGAAAACATCTCTTAAGAAACTCTCTAAATTCTCTAGTATTGGGAGAAAGCTAGAATGATTTGGGATGATTTTGAAGCTAAATGGGATAGGGTATTTTAGTTGAAGCTTAAGGATTAATCTTGTAAATACCCTAAAATACATGACTAAATTGTAATTATCTCTTTTAATTTTTTCCACAAAAGTTGGCTGCCTAAATTTTTAAATTAGCAGCCGGCTGCCAAATTTTCCAGCCGCCCATGTGCTTTTGTTTATTTTCAACATAAGGGTCTCAATTTTCTGATTCAACATGGGAAACCGGAGGACATTCTTCCTAAGCTGGCAAAGGCTTTTGGAGCTCACAATTAAGTGCACTACACTATAATGTCTAGTCCTAGAGGTGAATTTGTACTTTAGAGTCATTATATTATTGGATTTGCATAGTGCTCAATTCGAAAACTACTCTTATCAGGTGTATGCTCATAAAGAAACCTGCTCCGAGGAGCTTCGAGTTGAAAGATCGGTTGCTGGAAGTCTGAGACAGGTGGTGTTACCACCTACTCAAGGCAATTCTAGCAGGTCAAGTTCAACCCACAGCCCTAAGCTAGAACTTTCGTGGGGAAGCACTTTGTATCACATAAATGACCTTCCGTTCAATATCAACAGTTTGCCAGACGTATATACTCAGTTTCGTAAGGCATGATTCGAAATTGTAATCATTTTGGGTTCTGAATTATTGTAAGGAGATTTTGCACATTGGATGTTTGTTAACATAATGATTACTTTCAGTCCGTTGAAGCGAAATGCACCGTCCAGGGTTGCATCAGACTTCTGAAATCACTTGGACCACCTCCTAGTATTGATGATTGGGGAATTATACCTTCAATTAAGCATCTTGGACTTCACTTGGAAAAGGCAAGTTAACATGTCATATATACTTTGCATACAGATTAGTATTCAATGAGCGCTGAGAAGTTTACCTTTTTACTGATTTTTATCCCCATGAATGACAGACTACAAAAGGAATGCGATTTATGGGAGGTGAGGCTGCTGCATTGGGCAGGGTTACAGAATACTTCTGGAAGAAGGCAAGAATTAGTGGCTTATTACTTTATGTAAATAGTAGAATAATCTATTTACTTGCATCATCTATATTATATGGAAAATGTAGTGACAAAGTGCATTCTTAAATAGGACTTGTTAAAATGTATAAGGAGACGAGGAATCAGGAATGAGATGTTAGACCTGATTACTCGACCAAGTTTTCTCCATGGCTTGCTTCAGGAAGTCTCTCTCCTCGATTCGTATATGAAGAGGTAACCGAACTTTCTAATTTTTTTTCATTTGCTGTTATTGAATAACCGTGTTATAGATTGAAGACAATGATTTTAGCTCGGGTCAGTATTTTGGTTGATACTATTAGGTAAAGAGATATGAAAAGGAAAGGCAAGCAAATGACTCCACATACTGGTACTTTCTGTCATTCCAACTTGCAGTGGAAAACTTATTTGTTTAGTCTCATACGAGGCTTGATATTCAACTATGACAATCGTTGCAGGGTGTTGTTTGAATTGATATGAAGGATTACTTCCGGTTCGTTTCGATAAAACATGGGAATTCGGTTTTCCATTTAGGTAAAGATCGAAATTATTCGAATTTCTTTAGGAGTGTATTACTAATGTTTATGGTAATTAGGTGTCGGCACTGAAACAGAATTTCTGTGAAACCGCTGGTTTCAAGATTATAGTCTCCATGTCGATGTTGATCTTGGTAGGTTTTCGAAGCGGTGATTTCATTTAGCCTGTGTAGGTAATGTGTATAACGAAAATACCCCGAAGAGGATTTTAGTCAAGGCTATAGAACCGTTGCCTTTGTGGAAAGAAAAAGGCTTGTAGATGTAGTACGGGAGTCTGTTTCCCAGAATCAGTCGAAATGCCCGTCTGTCCTCACTGTGAACGAGGTTTGAGGTGGCCTTAGTGTCATAGCGACATGCATGACAATTTTTCTTCCTTTACCATTGGATTATTAGCTGTACCGAGCACCATGATGACCACGTTTACCAATTTTGTTTTGTTGACTTTACATACATGGATAGACCGAGGGGATGGTGAGGATTAGCGCCCCAAATTTCAAATTCTTATATATTTTAAATATTTTTATCTTATTTATATCCTTATTTGAGAAATCAGAACATTTATTTTGAAAACTCTAATCTATCTCTTTTATTTATTAATATATATATACGACTTTGTAGAAAATACCACAAAGTATGGAATTTTAGACGAGCAGCTGAAATGCGCAGGTGAAAAGAGTTGAGGTTGGTTTAGTTGGACAATCAAATCACCTACTGTTTAATTTTGATGGATCCAGCTACACGCGTGGATGGTAGTAGCGGCAATACTTATATAGCAGGGCAAACATTAATACATTACATATGGACAATACATTTCCAAAGTAGCATGCCTATCATGGCAGGGCAGTCTGAATGAAAGATTCAAAGCTTCATTAAGTAATACCCCCAGCCCCAGGACCCGGCTATCCTTTTCCCATTACAAACACAATATTTGGAATCATTCATTCGAACCCTCAAAAGCATTAATCATTCACAAGAAGGTCCTCGAAGAAGGGATCGAAAATAGCTTCTTTAGCTGAATCATATTTGTCCAGACGCTTTTTCAAAGACCGCATGTCTCTCTCATTCTTTGAAGAACGTACCTGCCTCACCATTTTTGTCAAATAAACACAACCAATTATACAAAAGCCTTGATGGACAACTATTTCTGATAATCAACCAAGTAAAAGGCAATGATCGCGACATTTTTCATTGAGTTATAGGACGAAAATCGCTTACATATGTTTTCTTCAGTAGCAGTATGTCCACCAAGTATATCAACCATAACACATTTGTTCTGGGAAAACTGTGCAACAACAAAAATCAACTATGAGAAACATGTGGTTCAATGAAAGAGACCAAAATATTCTAGACAAATCAAATGGCCTCCTGGAATATACCCAAGGCAGACAGAAAAAACTGACCAAACAAGAAAACTATAAATGCCAAATATTTCTTTTTTCCTTAGTGTATGGTATAGGGTATATGCATGAGCAGCTTTGTGGATCTCATTCTTCCCTATTAATTTTGCTAGAACAATACAACTGAAACTTGATTGTACAAGTTGATTTGCACCAGTTAGCAACAAAATCACTACTATTACTAGTCTACTACATATTAACAACTACTAATAGCAACTGCAAAACCAAGAAATAGAACAAAGGTTTTACAAAAATAAAATCATGACCTAAGCAAAAATTTCAGTGCCACTGTTTGATCCAGTTGATTAATAACAAGGTTCACTACGTGCAGTTATAATAAGGTGGGGGTTGGTAGTAAGATAGTTAAAGGCTTGAGTTGATGAACCGAATAAGTGGTTTGTTCTCATATGTGAATATTGGAAAAGTACCTTCCTTCCAGTGATCTTCTGCAACCTCCTTCATTTTCTATATGTTTCTGACTGCATTTCATAATTAGTTTAGCTAGATTAGATGTGAATGCGTTTTGTCTGTAATTATGAGCCGAAATTCACAGTTTGTTTCTATTTCTTACTTGTTTATCTCCTTTTGGACCTTTGAAAAGATAAGGGTCCTGTGACAGATCCAAAAAGAGTATGTTTACTCCTGTATACCAAAGCCATTAGAAAATCATTATCACATAAAATTTCTAATGCAGCAAAATTTTGAACAGGAAAAAAAGAAAGAAGCAGAGGAAACTTCACCAGTGTTCAATCTCGACAGTGTAAAATCAATTATTGACACTGATAAACCATATGTCCTGAAGGATATTTGTTTGCCCTCTAGCATAAACTTCATAGTGACAGAATCCTTTCGGCTCAAAGTATGTTTCCCCTATAACGAAAGGAGAAAAAAATGATCAGAATCAGAATCAAGACACAAATTTACCATACAAAAGTGACAGCAAGCGGACCAATGCAAATCACGGTGTTCAAACTCATATGCAGCTTCAGCCACAGCCAGGGCAGCCGTAACCTACAAAACCATTAATAAGTTCACTCCGAGCTAGTAATGACAGATAAAATAATCCACGAAACAAGACTTGATCTTTTTAACTAGAAAATCACTTTTCAAGTTTGTTTAAATAATTTTGTATCATTTGATTTACCTGAACCAATAAACTTTTTGCTTCATCAAAATTTTCAAGTACAAAGCTTTCAAGATCTTTACCACCATGTTGTAGAACAAATACGAGATAGCGCTGAAGGCAAGTTCATCAGGGTCAGCAAAAGAGTATTGGTAAACAAAAAGTATTTGTACTTTGGGAGTTTCCTATACGTGCAGTATTCTATTCATAAAGTATTTATTTAAACTTTCTTGCGTACAAATATTCATCAGTAAGAATCGAAGAAGAGGTACCTGTTTCTCTGGGAACTCCTTGGGGTGATCATTTTCTGACCCATTCTTTTCATCCCATTTTTCCCAAGCTCTAATCAATGCCGCATCATACAAACCTTCGCAAACCTTTAAACTATCAAAGAGAGAGATTGATGAGAGATAATTTAAATAATAAGTAATCAATCAGGAAGCACAAATTTCTGGCCAGGATTCAGAAAACGTAATTAGAAAATTGAAAGTGCACAACCATTCATACATATTAGGCACATATTTCATGAACTGTGACTTTCACTTGGGCATGAACCTAAAAAGCTAAGTAAGAATGAAAACTGCTTCTAATTTAAATGTTTACTTACGGTTATCAGAAGTCAAGTTACAACGAATGATACAGAAAATAGTGATGTGAAAAACATACTCAATTGTTTCTATAAAGGTCGTGCAAGCATTAAATCATCCTTCTCAAATTCTCGTAAACTGTTAAGAGCTTTAGAAAGCACAGCTTCCTCAAGCAATTCTTCCGATTTCTGAAGCACAAAAAGGAATATTGGTTAGTGATGACGAGCAAGTCATGTTCATTCAAAAAAATGTCTTCATGCAAAAGAATAATTTAACCAGCAAACTACTTAAAAGTTAATTTCATTATAGCCAATACCTTTTGCACTTCTCCATTTACTGGGAAATCCCATCAAACGGAACTATTTTGCAAACAGTATTGCCTGCTCTGAAGGCTTCTCCATAAGTACTTCACCAACTTTAGCAATACTTTCTGGAGCACTGATCAAGAAGGTTTCACCATAATCAACCCAAGCCGTGTGCATTATCAAATTTAGTGCAGAGAGGAATAGAAGAATAACGCAATGAGCAAACATCATTGGAACTAACAGGACCACAAAGATCAGTGAAACCCTAGAACGTATAAAGATTAGTGAAACCCTTGAACATAGAAATATGCATTTATAATTTCTGAAAATAGGAAAGCATTTTATGATAAACGAGAGTCAATACTCAATAGCAGACAGCACCGTGGTAAAGTCAGATGAACTCATGAACACAGCCTATCATTGCAATGAGGCTCACCCTCCACTTGCACGGAAACCACATAAATAATTATGTGCATTTTCTTCAAGGGCAAAAGGAAAACAATTAATTCAAGAGAGACTAACCAATACTTAGAGAAAAGATCAAGAAATTGTAACGGTGTTGACTGTTCACAGATTCCAGCAAAGGTAAATGGATCAAAACGTTCAAGATGTGATGATGTTGTTGTAGATGCCAAGGAAGCTTCCTAACGGAAGCATTTATATCTTCACACCTTGGTCACCATCACCTGCACTTGTATCTTCACAACTTTATCAGTGATATTGGACCACACTTTTCAGGAGTTCTCACAATTGGAGCAGTAGGAGTTTCAAATATTTTGGACAAAGTGGAAGAAGGCCCACAACTGAAGTTTAAGTTCTTTGACAAGAGCCACTTCTCTAATCTGGATGAAATAAGTGGTATAGGATCAGGGACAGTTTGATTACCCGTTGCCCATGTCCCAAACTGTTTGGTGATGGGCTCTCTCCAATAGCTCAAAGGCATCAACCTCTCGGAAATATTCTCTCTCCTTCTCGAAATTTGGAGGTTCTGCAACCTTTCCCTGTAAACAAGACAAAAAAATGAAATTGCAATGACAAAGTAATCCCAGTGCACCTTTCTGGAGCACTATATTGGTTTTGGACATTAGTAGTTGTGCAGCAATAGATGAAACGAAGGAAACAAAGTTCAGACTTCAGATTGTACGTGATGATATAGGAAATACAAGGTCTGTGAGTCATACTTTAGGAACAGTGGTTTTCCCTTCCTGGGCTGCTTTTGTTGTGGTTCATTGGCCACGCAAGGAGCAACAGCAATGCTTGTCCTCCCTCTGAATTAAGCAGAAATATGAGTAACATTAAGACCCACCATGGCAAAGCAAATGAAAACGCATTTGAAGATAGAATAGGATACAATTACACAACATAAAACTTTTCAGTTTTAAATAGATTTATCAGTGTAAATAGACCATTGATATTAATGGTAAGAAAATAGACTGATAATTATATAAACTAAAAAGTTTGACATTATGAGATTTGATCCACTCCTTCGAAGATTATTGAGCACACACCGAAACTTTAAAAATGGAAACCCGGAACATTAAACCAGCATAAACAGGCAAACACTAAATTGTAGTACGGGCAGCCGCGCAATCAGGCGTAATCTCTTATCATAATCCTTGTTTATATAAAAATGAGGAAATGGAACAGAAAGAAGGAACCTGGTGGAAAGCGAGCGATTCCAACTGACGCGCTTGGTGTTAGCAGCGGCGGCGAAACTGACGCGACTGCGGTTAGAGTGTTGCGACTGCAGGTTAGCAGCGGCGGCGAAACTGACGCGACTGCGGTTAGAGTGTTGCGACTGCAGCTGGTGGTCTGAGTAAGTGGGGGTAGGGAGAGACGGTTGTCGCCTTCTCTGATAGATGGGTTGTACTGTAGATTGCTGTCGTTGCTCTGGTGCTCCTATGATTTCTGCCCAAACTTGCTCTTGCTCTTGCTTCTGCTTTGCGATCCATCGTTAAATCTTCTTACTAACTGAGATCTATGTGAGAAGGAAAGGACACCGATTGATTTGAATATGCAGGGAGGCGGGAATGGATCGTGGATTTTGTACTATGGGCTTTGCTCCACTTACTAGTTCTATTTATTACATATATTATCAGTTTTGATATGTATTTATATTTAAATTTTTAATTTTTTTTAAATTATACATAAAGTTTAGTTTTTATTTTATTTTAATATTTTCGTTCAAAATTTAATGTTAACTCTTAAAAAAATTGAAAGTTTAGGTACTAAAATAGACCAAAATTGATAGTTTAGATATTAAATGCGTTAAGTTTTTAACGACGAGTTACTAAAATAAAACAGAAACTAAATGTTAGATATGATTTTAAAAATAAAAAAAAATTAAGTACTAAAATAAATCAAAACTGATAATTCAGATAATAATTACATAATTTATCCTAACTATTAATTGGATAAAGGATATCAAAAATCACTAAACTATATCAAATTGTGTCAGGAAAGTCGTCGTCGTCTCTACAATATCTGATTTGTATTAATTGATCAATAACTAGTGATTAGTTCAAAAAGATCACTAAACTATTTCAAAACAATTTTGTTATTACTAAATATTTAAATATTATAAAATTATTATTAAATTTATTGAATTGTTACAAAATAGTAAAAAAATCAAATTTAACAAATTTAGTAATTAATTTATAATATTTTGATAATTTTAATAATTATTTTATAATTCTTTGATTAATTTAATAACACTTTCATAATTATTTATTATTTTGTAACTTTCAAAAATTAATGAAATAAAAGATTATTTTGACATAATTATCTCTATCCTAAATTTTATTAAATTAACACAAAATTATTATCAAAATTATTATTTTTTAAAATTATAATAATATTATAATGATTATTGTATAATATTTTGATAAAGTTAATAATTATTTATATTTTTTTAAAATATAATAATTAAACAATCATTTAAATGAAATTCAATAATCGCAATACTTTACTCGATATTTTTTTTCAGAAAATGAGAAGGATAAAGGAGGGGAAAGATTGTCATTGAAAAGATTCCTTTATAGTTATTGGATATGATCGTATATAGGTTTTTAATTACCATTATTATAAGATTACGAGGTTGTTTCTATGCTTATTTAGTTTAACATTATTTCTAAAAATTATAGCAAAAATAATTTAAAAAATAATATAAAGTTTAAGCGTCTAATATTATTGTTAAGATGTTTCTTTTAGAAATAAATAAGTATTTTAGATATTTTATTATAAATTATATATGATCATATGATTAATTTTTATGTCGAACTAAAATATAGTATTTATTAAAAAATAAATTAATCATTTAATAATAAATATTTGTACATTGTCATACTCGAATTTAAAACTTCAAACAATCTTTTAAAAATTAAAATCTTTTTATTCGAATAAAAATATTTACTGCATTAAATTTTAGATATTTCATACTCTCTATTTTGATATTGATTTGTTTGTTTGATTAGATTAGATAAAATATCAACCGCAGCAGACAACACACAAAAGGCTCCTCAGTAACTGTCAAAATCAACTAAAAGTTATTAAAAATAAAAATAATTTCACCTATAAAATTAAAATAATTAAAAAGGAGAAAAAACCCAATTCACCTATAAAATTAAAATAATTAAAAGGAAATACTCAATGACTATCATCGTCAGGGTGATTCTGCTGTGTGCAGCGTTAGAAAAATGTTAAAAAATGATGTGATATATTAAACAAGTGATTAATTAAAATTTAGATCAATTATGTTATATCATTTAATCGGAAATATTATTAAGTATAATAATATATTAGGTAACGTTTATATTGACTTATTTTCTAACTAAACAAGTATATT